GGCGTTCCCCATCTAAGTACTACTCAAATTTTTCAAATTCAGCCCCATGCTATGCGTGTTACTAAAGTAGGAGCGTATGGAAGTTCTCGCGGGAAAATTACTAACTCGACAATCAGAAAAGCTCGAAGACTGAAACTTTTGGGAGGATATTCCCTGTTCAAGTAAAACACAGATATTTCAAATTCAACCTCAGCTATGCGCTGTACTCACATAAGGTCGCATGAAATTTTCTGCAGGAAATTTACTAACTCGGGAACCAGAAAAGCTAGGAAGCTGAAATTTTTGGAGAATATTCCCTGTCCAAGTACAACTTAAATATTTTAAATTTAGCCTTGAGGTATGCGTGGTTCTTACGAACGGGCACTTAAAATTTTGGCTAAATTTCTGACCAAACAGCGAGGTTACTTTTAAAGAACGATCGTCAGATGGAAAATGTACATTTACTTTATGCAAAATTTATGGTGATTTATGCCGATGGCCGCAAAAGTAGGTGTAAAGCAATAACCATTCATGCAGTTAATGGCCTGAGTACTTAAAGTACAGCTCAAAAGCGTACGATAGCACGAACCCGATTGGTGCGTTCCAGCCTGAGTTTCGGTAAATGCACGCTTTTTGAAAAGATGAAAAATGCAAACTTCACTAGAAAGTGGAAGTGTTGCTGGAGCGGTCGATCGTCAAAAAATCCAAGTATGCAAACGAACTGAATGTTCATTTTCATATTTGGGTGGGAGCGGTCCTTCGCTGCAAAAAGCACTCGTTTCTCATTTTCAGTAAAGTTGGGTATTTCTCAAAACCGCCTGCAGGGAATTATACCTCCAAGCAGAATTAGGACCGCACTTGAAATTAGAATACCCAAGCGAATTTCCAGCCTCGTACTTTGTCAGGTAAGCGAAATATCCACTTCGCTACAATTATCCTTGAAGTGCCCTAAATCGTGGTGCAAGTGCAAGTCGGCACTCTTTTTAGATATAAGATTGGTATAAGATTTCCCGCATTGACGACAAACATGATAACAAAATTTCAGCCATTGTTTTTCGGAAAGTTTTCGAGTTAGCCCAGTGCCAATTTGCAAACTTTAACGTGATCGCAAGCGCTGAAAAAGCGTGCGCGACAGCTGAATTTGAAAACTCTAGCTCACACTTGCACAAAAAATATTCCTGCAAAGTTTTAGTTTTTTACCTTGCCTGGTTCGCAAAATTGTTCCTCGCCAAAGAAATCTGCATATTTTTTCGGGCTCCGTACGCGGGGTCTAGAAGCGTGTAGGAGATAGAACATGGGTTAGGAACACATACCCAAAATTTCAACCTCCCAGCTTTCCTGCTTGCTAGGATGAAAGTGGATGACAAAATCCACTCGCTTCCGAATACATACACACACACAGACAACCTCTCGACAATGTGCGTTTTTATGCGCTTTTTTCTGTAGCGTTGCTATAGCGCTGCTACAACTAGCAAAAACGTATGTCGAGAGGCTGTCTGTGTGAGTGTTCGGAAAGCGAGTGCATTTTGTCACCCACTCTGATCTCAGCAACCAGGAAAGCTGGGAGGCTGGAACTTTGGTTATAAGTTCCTACCCCGTGTGTCATCCTCCCGTTATAAGATCTTTACTCATACGCGCCCAGACTCCGCGTACGGGATCCCCATAGAAATTTGTTGGCGGGAAACGATTTCGCGAACCAGGCAAGGTAGAAAGCTGAAACTTTGCAGGGACATTTTCTATGCACGTGCGAGATAAAGATTTTAAACTCAGCTCTCTAGCTCCCCAACCACAGCCTCAAGGAGCTCCTCAACCCAAAAATAGTTAGGAACTCGGACCTGAACCGCAATTGTACATGCAAATGAACATGGATTTTTTGAAAAACGGCCGTTAGAGCAATACTTTCAATTTTTAATGAAATAGAAATTTGCATTTTTTCAAAAAATTTGCATTTGTCATTTTTTTACAAAGCGAGCATTTACCGAAAAAACGGCCGAACTTCATGCAAAAAACCGGTAATCATGCACTTGGATGTCCGTGCGGCTCTATAATGCACCACCTTCGACTTCATGCAAATAATTGGACAACGCACGGGCTGCCCTTGCGAAGATGGGTTTTTTGCATGGTTCC